CCCCCCCCCCCCCCCGGGAAATGTAATGGTCCATCTCTGGTGTTGATAGTAAAATCACTTGCTGATCGTAATCAGAGAAAAAATGATTAAGAGTGCATTAGGGCTGTGCTCTAGAAGCTCCCGGTTGCCACAGGCGACTAACTCTTGTCTTTGGGTGACTGGGAAAACTTACTTTTTAAACATAAGCTTAAGTGCTGGGCACCCAGGATTTCATGGTTAGGAACCCTTGGGCTCACCGTAATGTTTCTTATACCACAGCCTTGGTGCATGATCTACTTCTAATTTCTCATTTAAAAAGACAGGCAGATTGAGGGATAGTCTTGATCCACCTCTGCATTCTCAGAACTGACATTAAACCAAATGTGTTATGGTCAGTAAGGAGAATTTACACTTTGAATTTAAGATGGAACTGTGAACTTATTTCAACTATGCAGTCCTCAATCCAAGGAACTGGTTACTTCATCATAGTGTACAACTGTTTGATCTCCTTCTTGTAAGTGTCTTCAGATGCACATGGTGTCTCCAAAATCATAGGGATACCATTAAACCTTGGATCTCTCATTAAACGTCGGAATGCCTCAACTCCAATCTTTCCCTTGCCAATATTTTCATGTCTGTCTAAATGACAGCCGATCTCTCCCTTAGAGTCATTCAAGTGAACTGCCCTCAGGTATTTGAGGCCAATGATAGCGTCAAATTCATCCATCGTTTTTGACAAACCTTTCTCTGAAGCAATGTCATACCCTGCGGCAAAGGCATGGCATGTGTCCAGGCAGACAGCCACTCGAGACTTGTCCTGTACACGGTCAATTATGTCTCGCAACTCTTCAAATTTGCCACCAATCTGTTAAAATAGAGGAGAACACTACTTAAACATATTACATACATAAATAAGCAATGTACTGCAGTAATGTTATTTCACACAGTTTACATGAATACTCTGGAGGTTTGACAATATGTTGATATATAAGGGATGTTTACTTGTCTATGGCTTGTAGGCTTTGCACTTGGGTCAATGATAGAATAGATGAAAACAACAACAACAACAACCTCCCCTGTATCATTTATGGAAAAATATTCATTCTGGTATTATGTTGTTCAATTACCCTCCCAGAGAGGTGGAGGGAGGGGGTGACCACCCCGATCTTTTTGGAAATTCTAGATTTGGCTCATACTTTCCTTTACAAATTTTGGCTTTTGAGACCCCCTCCCTCTCAAAATTCCAAATAATTCTCCTTAGGGTGGGTATGGATATTTTCTGAAGCAACAAATTATTTACATATGATGTTTTGTGCCACAGATATAGTTTCAAATCACTAGTATGACCTGCACATGTACATGGTACTGTACAGAGATTATAAAATATCACATGTATCACACCATTGGCAAGACATAGTAAGTCACACTAAAAACATTTACCATTTAACATTTAACTTCAGTCAGTTTCCATTGCAGAAAAATGAGAAGGAGTACAGTGGAGCCCCACCTTACACCCTGTTAATATGGCCACATCATTATTACAGCCCCTTTATTCTAGTCCAAACAGAAGCTCAGGTAGTCAGTTAGTTATTTAAAGAACCCCTTTAATATGGCCATCCTGTTAACATGGCCAAATTTTTGTGGCCTGTTGGTGACTGGATTGACGAGGTTCCACTGCATTGCTACTCCCCCTGTGTGGGACTTAGGGTTTGCAGGCAAGCCAGAGTCATATTTTCCAGGTTGGACAGACAATTCACTTTTACATGTACATGTACTTTATATCCCTGGGTCAAGAGAGGCACTGAGTCGGTCAAGTTACAGGTCAAAGAGCAAACAAAGGGTCCTGCCCAGTTCTAAGACCCACCCACACAATGCCTCTCACCATAGCACTAGAGGGCAGTAAGACAGAGCTGTCCAATAACACTTCCCACCGTCTAGGTTAACAATGGAAAACTGCTGACAATACTGTATATGCCTGCCTAAATTCTGGCTGGGCTATAAAAGCACTGGGTGCTGTGACAAATAATTGGGGCAATCTGGTAATTATGCTGGAGATTTTGAATTTTTGTAATCCCTTCTGGCCACAGAAATTAGAGTAAGGGCTGAAGTCAGTCTTCCTGCTTTATTGATCTCTAATACTGACCTCCCCTCGAGCAACCCTAAAACACAGAATCTGGAATTCAGAATCCAGAATCCAGAATCCTCATTTGCTAACTTGTTCAGTAGCTACTAGACATGAGGGCCAAATATATACCTCTGGCAAATTGCAGATCACTTAAACAAAATGGCTATTACCAGAAAACTCATTTTAGTCACTCACAGAGTGCTGAGAATCAAATTTTGACATACGTTAGTATAGATTCTCATAATCATAGCCCTCACAAGAAATAACAGTTGCATGAATTTCGACAGGTGGAGGATCATTGTTTCAAAAGAGGTGAAGTGTGAGAAGTCGTTTTTTTCTTGGTCTCTTAATTTTTACAGGGAAAAGCAACGCAACGTAATTTTTCATGTAATTGAAGAACTTGTTTTCTTTGATTTGTGGATTCCGGATTCCGAATTCCGAATTCCGAATTCCAGATTCTAGGATTCCGGTTCTGGATTTCGGATTCCAGTTTCGGGATTCCATGTTTTAGGGTTGCCCCCTCCCCTCACCCCACCCACCTCCTCATGAAGAAAAGAAAACTCTTATTGACTAATGACATAACAAAAGATACTACTCACAGTATTGCCTTGGCAGCTCATATTTTCTAAGACAGTAACAACAAATTTTGTTTCCTTGTGTGCCAAATTGATGCTTTCAGCTATCTTGTCAATGGATTCTTCAACTGTGATTTTGCCACAAGTTGAGCCTGGATGGAAATTGTACAGACAGAGCCCCAGCTTTTCACAGCGTTGCAGCTCATCCACAAGGGTGGATCGGCTTTTAGAGAGCGTTTCCTCGTCTGGAGATCCACAGTTCATGAGGTAAATACCATGTGGAAGAATCGAATGTGGAGAGAAGTTGGCTTTGGCACAAGCTTCTTTGAAGAGTTGGGCTGCTTTGTCTTCCAATGGTTTGCTTTTCCACTGGCGCTGTGATCTCAAGAAAAGCCCAAAAGCTTTAGCACCTATAGCCAGTGCCTCAGCCACTGCATTGTGGAGCCCTCCACCAATAGACACATGAGCTCCAACAAGCTTCTCCTGGTTAAACAATGACTGAATGTCATCTTCATATTTTATCGCCGTGTGCACATCCGAATCGTCTGTTTTCATTCTTTTGATTTTGGGTTTAACTTTTTCTTCAGTGATAGCTGAGCTGTTCAGTGTACTCACTTTCTGTTCATTTTCGTCTTGATCAGTAGTGCTTTTCTCTCGGGTCCGTTTCGTCGCCGTGGATTTCTGGGGCTTTCTCGTTCCCGCCTTTTCCTCTTTTCCCGTAGAGTTTGTTGCCGATGTCGATCCTGAGATTTGCGCAACTTCAGCAGCTCGAGAAGTTATTTCATCGACTGCTCTAGCTGCCAAACGAACACTCCGTCTCATGTTGAATACCTGGTGTCAAAAAGACTCAAAGAAAAGTAGCAGCCTATACAGTTCTGGCCGCCATCTTTTTTCTGCGGACGGCGGAAGATTGGATCGGGGGAGTGCTACAATAGATCCAGTCTTTCCACTTTCGTAATTTTCCGGACAGGATCAGGGAACGAGTTTGAGATCTTGCGTTCTTTCCGCGAATTTTAGGGCAAAACAGGGGCTGCTTGCAGTCTGTTTGAGGTATGAAACAGAAATAATGCAGCTTTATGTCGTCATTGTTTGCTATCAAATAATCGATACATCCGGAGAAGGGGGGATGGGAGGGGAGGAATTTGGCATCAAGGTTTGATACTAGAGTAGGAAATTTGATACTATATAGGGGGGGGGGGTAGGGGGATTTAAAACAAATTGCCTCGAGATCATGTTGAAGCGTGGCATAAGACAACATCTTTGTATATGTTCTGGATGAAAAACAATGCCTTGAAACAGTTTATACATGTATAACATTTGACGGTCAATATTAACCTGTGAAAATTATTACTCACTTTTATAGTTTGATAAAAAAAAATTATTCTTGTAACAGAGGATGTTGAAAGCAGGTTTTCAAGAGATATATTTTGCTCTTTTCCATTACTTATTACGTTTTATCGCGTGGCATGACCTTATAACGGTTGGGTATTTAAGCACTATTTTTGTCCTGGGAGATGGGAATTTGACCATGCAAGTGGAAATTCAAAATCTCGGAGAATACCAGGGGATTAACCAGAGGGGTGCGATGCTGAAGCTTCGAATTGACTTATGCACTAACTATGGTTTTTATTTGCAGCAGAAATTTCAATTAAAGACCAAAAGACCGGCAGTAGCTCACTAAACAGATTTTATTGCCTGTAATCCACAAAACTAGCTAGTTTAGAAGGTTTTGGAGTAGGAAACTGAAACTTCAAACGATAAATTCAGTTCATTGTATTTGTCCAAACTGGTGCGTTTTCATTTGATATCATGTACATTTTGATGCATTTTCGTGAGTAAACGTATATTTTAAAAAAGTTCTTCAGAATGGAGACATATGAAAACGCTAGCCCTACCTCGCCAGTTAGTGTGGAGAGCAAAAACGGAAGCTGTCGTAGCAAAAACGAACTCAATGTGTCGCGGCTTAAAGTTTCAAACTCCTGAAGTGCACCCACTCACTTATTTTCACACATGTTTTCACGTTCATGGTGCAGACCAAGAGACCTCTTACACCGCAGACTTACTCGGTTCCACTGTCATCATTGACAGAGCTCTATCGATTGAGACCCCGTTTTCACCATGCTCCAGGTGTATAGATTAACCCAAAATTAAATTGCCTCTTATGATGGATAGTATTTTACTACATTGAACCACTGACTATTGTTGGACGTTTTTTTTCTTTTTTTTTTTTCAGTAGCCTGATGAGTTTAAAGAGGCGTTTGTTTTGAAAGTGCAGCAAAACCTGATATTAAAACGCAGACAAGAAACCCAAATAACCATAAGCTAGGTTAAAGTTTTTCTTTTCACGGCCTCTGCCTTATCAAAAAGATTAAATCTTAGCTATACTTTCAGTATTTATTGTTCGAAAATATGAAATTTCCGATTATGGTGAAATCCCTCTACCACTGAGCCACAACACTGTTGTGCTTTGTCAATCTACTCTCACTGATATGCAGTACAGTCAATCTACTCTGTATACTAGTTTGACCAACAAATGCAGCTGTTACCCTTAGTCTTACGAAGTATTCCAAAGTAGCCGTGATATGCATGTTCACTAGACACCGTTTTGTTATCATGATATGATTAGGGAAAGGCATCGTCGGAGCATTAGGCCTTAACTAAATGTCAGATTTAAGCACTGGTTTTTGCGAAGTTGTACCCGTTTTATCTTCTTCATCTTCACTTTCTTCGTCATCGCTGGCGACTCCTAGTTTTTCCTTGACCACTTGCTTCTCTCTTTCCATCTTAAACTTCAGGTTCTCAGGAACATCAGGAACGATCCAAGCTATCATGGCGGTTATTGAGTGTACCACGAAGAAGAACACCACGACGAAGGCGAGTCGAGCAGCAATCAGATTCCAGTACTGCTCGGAGTAGTTGTAAGGGTAGGTGCTGTCGTGGTAACCAGAATACCTGAGAGATGAGTGACACAACAAAGTTTATTTGTATGAAACATCAGATGCATTGGTTGGTCAGGAGACACCCTTGGGTTGTACATGTAATTAAGTGATCAATAAGGGAAAACCTGTACCCTCTGTTGCGAGAAAGGCATCCGCATTTTGAGTAGAAAAATATCATACTGATGACACAGCTAAGAATTAAGCCTAGCGTCTTTGATTGGTTGTCACTTCGTACGAAAATTGGCAACCTAGCAACAAACAATGGGAGAAACGAAACGAATCTGTGCAGTTGTAGGTCATTGGCACAAAATGTAAGTTAAATAAATATCTTAATTGACCACTCCCCCAATGGAGCTTTTCAGGGCCAATGAAGCTAAACAATGAAACAAATAATGCCAATGAACATAACATGAACATAAAATCCCAACTGGCAGGAGGCAGACTAGTTGGCTACTTCCAAGCGTGGCCGAGGAGTTGAACTGGGGTCTACCGAGAAACAACTCCAGCTTAGTGGTCAGAGTGGTACTTGAACCCGCGACCTCCGGATTTCAAGCTTAGTGCCCCAACCACTCGGCCGCGCTGCTTCCTGTCTCAATTGCAGATGTTCTCTGCGTTGACAACAACAACAAACTTGATCATACCCAGAGCCTCTGAACTGAGATATTTTTAATATAACTCAAGCAATACGAGTCCATTGGAACGTTATCTCTTGAGAATCATGTGGAGTAATGATTGGGGTGTATTACCACCTTGCTAAAGCTTCAGCTTAAACTACTGTTACCTGCAGTAGTCTCTGGTATAATTCACGTTTTCAGTAGGGTTCACAGGTTCTGTTCCAGGCTCCCAAGTGTAAAGGGTCTTAAGATCAATCGCAGCCAGGCTGTTGTTGAGGTATCCTTTTAAGGTGCCTCCTCCCGGTGAATCATGGTCCGGCGCATACTTGTATTTGTAGAGGAGCTTGGGAATGAAATCAGAGGTGAATGCCAATACGAATGCGTTCATTATGACTGCCACTTTGGTCACTGCCTCCAGTACTCCGTACCAGGCCCCTATATCTTCAACGCGAATGGTCTGTGGCCTTCGGTGGTAAGACACAAAGTTGATAGCATCCACTCGAATCTCCAAGACGGCGTTAATGAGTGCGAAGAGTGGTGCGAGCGGGAAGGCGGACACAAACATGGTCACAAAGCCGTACTGGAGAACTGAAAATAGCACCACATTATGTCATGATCACCTACTGATATGTACAGACACATTAATATGAGGGGAATAAATTAAAGGAGTGCTCTGAATGATAAGACAATCACGTGGACTGCTTCCAGTAAAACAAAGAAATTGCAGTCCCATCTTAAACTTCCATGGGGATGCGAACGTCCCATCCGCATCCAGCGGGTGAACATCGCGTCTGGTGCTCTTTAGGCCTTCACAATGTATCCAAATTGAACCCAAAAGAACTTTTATTGGGGAAAATCACAAAGGAAATTTACAATCGATGACGTTAAGATAAGCCAAAAAAAGATAGCTGGGAATGTTGAGTGAACTACCGTTGAGGACCTCCGAGAACAGGCACCTCTCTGCAACGGCCGCTTTTTGTTGTCCCGGCGGACGTTGCATATATTCACGCACCTCTTCACAACGGCAATAGCCACTAAAGCGGGACCCATCTGCCCGAATAACTCCTCTACAGCGGCCAGTTAGTCAACGACTGACGAATTGTGTATACAACCGAAAACCCTATTTTTTTTTGTTGTGGAAGGTCACGACACTCGATTCGTACCGCGCGCCTTTGGTCTCTGTTTCCGTTTCATTGCTGTATCTAGATTGGATTACGGTTACAATAGACATTTTTTTTT